TAAAATAAGGATTATTTTTCTGTAGAAAAGGGGAAGGAAAGATAAAGAGATTGGCTCGTGTTTGGTGTAGGATTTTTAGCAAGAGTCAAGCGATCACTCTTTCCTTAAAACCTTATTTGCTACCTCCCACAAGTGCTAGGAGCGTTGTAGCCTAGGCTTCCCAAGATAAAACTTGCTACAATTCAATGTTTGAGCTGAGCACCCAAACAAGGAATCCGGCGAACTAGAGCAACAGGATGAACACATGCAGTTTAGGCTAAGAAGAGAGTAGAAGCAGAGAGGTTTTGAGGCTGGAAAAAAAAATTATACTTTCTTGTTGTGTGTAAATCTGCTATTGCCCAACTCCTTATATAGGGATTGAGGAGTGAATAGCCTTTATTATGGCACTTAAGGCTACCCCTACACCTTCCCGACGTTCATGTAACAGCAACCATTAACATGGGTTTTAATTCAAAATGTAAAATTGGAATTAATTCCGTAACGTCAATTTCCAGGCGACATTCGTGCGCATCACCCACCCACCTCCCTCGCGTGCAAGAGAGAACCTCTATGCTATACAATTGAATAAGCTTAAAAAGTGCTCTTGTATAAATAGTGGGGCAAATCCTCTTCCCAAACCAATGTGGGACAAAAACTCACTTTTTCCCACCATTTTCCAACTCAAATGGGTCTACTTTGAGAATCAATATCTCATTCACCCATTATCCGTTTTGAGCGTACAATATATCGATCTCTTCGTCTCACTACGAAGAATCCGAACCACTTTGACCCGACCCAAATCGGAAGTGGACCTCACTGATAATTGTACAACAAAATAGTCACTTAACATGCCATTTTAAGCTATTTTTTTCCAACACATTAATCATTTAACAAATCACTCAATGATATGCCATAGGGTCCGAATCAATTGAGCAGGAGCTGAATTTGACCAACCCGACCAACCCCCAATCGTTATGCTGTGCATCCGTATGCACCATGCATGGTGCATCCGGATGCGAAAACGACATCGTTTTGATGTCTAACTTTAAAAAAAAAAAAAAATTAAAAAAAAAAATCAGAATTGCATAACTACACATCCATAATTTCATAACTATACATCCAGAATTACATAACTACACATCAATAATTTCATAAACTATAAATCCAGAATTGCATAACTACACATCCATAACTTCATAACTATACATCCAGAATTGCATAACTACACATCCATAACTTCATAACTATAAATCCAGAATTGCATAACTACACATCTATAACTTCATAACTACACATACATAATTGCATAACTATACATCCAGAATTTCATAACTAAAAATCCAGAATGAATGAACTAAAAAATGAATAACATAATGTTGTTGCTGGGAATCGAAACTGTTTTTTTTTTTTTTAAGTAAGACGCACGTTTTGATGCAAAACGACATCGTTTTTGCATTCGTATGCACCATGCATGATGCATACGGATAACGGATGCAAAGCATAATTTGCCACCGACGCCCATGTTTTATCTCTGAAAGTATGCTAATTGTTTCTTTGGCTGCAGAGTCATAAAACCAAGGGTTTGACAAATTCATAAAAAATTAGCAAATCCTTTAATTTATTTACTAAACACCTCATTAACACGATTATCTATCCTTGTTAATTTTTTAGACGATCGCTTTCAACTAACATTAATAAAATAGATTTTATATAAACCATTGAAGAATCCTCAAACCTTAGATTTTACTATATTCCTCCGAGAAAACTAAAGATCGAGAAATACATTTGCCGACAAAAAAAGAAACTGAAAAACATAAAAACTGTCACTGTAAGTATCGAAGTACTTGTTTAGATGTTAAAATTTAAATAGATCCAACCGGTGGCTAATGATATCACCTTCGTAAAAACAAAAATAGAATAATAAAATAGGGAGAATTAATATAAAACTTTGGAAAATTTATATGATTAGGCAAGCTTATTATGATAATAACCAAATTTAAAAATATAGTAAAAAATTCAACAAACTAAATTTTATCTCATAAAAATCTCTAAAACTGTAATTTCTAACATTAGATGCCGCCATAATATACAGAAGCGTGCTGCTTTCATTTGTCTTTTGGGCATCCATGAATGGTTGACGAATAAAATTTATGAAACTTTATGTGTTTCTCCCGTAATATGTAAATAAATAATGTCTGGTGTAAAAATGAGAGAAATTCTTGACGATACGTCTCAAAATGGAGTTAGAGAGAAATAAAGGCAAATTATATTGTGTACCAGGATCCATAGTGTATTCTAATTTTGATTTAATACATAGAATTTGACTTCATAATCTATAGAATTCATGTTTATAACACGATATAATGAATATGAATTATGTGCATTATGAACATGAATTCTGTGTATTATGTTAAGTGTTTATGTGTTCTCAGCTATATAATACACAGAATATAATTCATGTTCATTATATCTTATTTATGTGTATGTATTTTATGAACATGAATTCTGATCTGTGCATTATAAACATAAATTCGGTGTATTAGATCAGGGTCCACGATATAACGATTGAGAAATAAAATATATAGAACCTTTTATATGGGTTTAATTTTGTTATCAAATTAAAAGAAATTATGTTTTATTTTAACTATAAGTAAAAAATTTAAATTGATAGATAAAGTATATATATTTATTATGGGTGAATCTCCTGTGAAACGGGTCGGGTATGGGAATGTAATCCATTCGCGAATAAATTGTTTGTTGTTTATTAGGGAAAGTGTAACACTTTTGAGAAAAATGTAATACATTTATAGGGTCTATTTGAAAACCCTGAAAATGATTCCTGCAAGACATTTTTTGAAATTTTCCGTGTTCGGGTATTCAAAGAAAATAAATTCAAAAAAATATTCATTCTAGTCAACCGAAAGGCCCAATATGGCATAAAATGTCTTCTGACGAGACCACTTATTATTATTATTATTATTATTATTATTATTATTATTATTATTATTATATACTAAGTAACAAAAAATATGTTTATTTTCAAGAAAAATGAGCCAAATAGAAAAAATGCAATAATTTCTTAACTTTCAGCAAAACAGAAAATAAAAAAAAATTACGACCTTCAACGAAACACTAGCAAATTAAACTATTTTTTAGAAGATGCGTCATTTTCCGACAAACATTTTTAAGTTTTCAAACGGGCCGTAAAATCAAAATATAATATTTAGATGTTAAATAATTACTTATGAGAAAGAAAAAAAAAAGTGTAATAACACTAATCATTATGGATAAATTAATTGTTTATTAGTTGAGAAAAAGTGTAATACTTATGAGTAAAAATTATAATATTTTAAAATCGAAATGTAATGTTAGGAGTTGAAAAATTATTTATGAGAAAAAAATATAATATTTATAAAAATTTGACTTATCTATCTTACAAATAATTAAGGATCCATGAGACAGTTTCAAGAGATTTAATTTTGCCATTTATTATTTATATCTTATATGGTTAACGTTTCAACTATTGGTTGGAATTGCATGCATATAGAAACTGGAAACAATGAAACGTATCGCCCACTCTCGTTTTTTAAAAGAGGTCAGGAATTCAATTCTCCTCTTGTATGGAAAAATCAATTTGGCCAACACTTTGCAATTTAGTTGGATCGACTCAGTGCGAATGAAATATAGTACGAACTTAATGATACTTCATACAATTAGGACTTGCTCAAAACACCTGACAATAAAAATAAACATACAGTAAACAATTAGACATGCATGAGCTGGAAAATGAAAAAGGCAGACCTCACCGCAGGGCGCAGGCTGCAGAATATATAGAAGTTGTGATGTGGAATGCAAAAATTCACACACAAAATTCCAAAACCATCGATATATGCCATTCCCACATAAGATGACAAAAATTGGGTGTACCACTCATCCGCACATGCAAATGCAACCTACGACTACGCCGATTCTGTACTACGTAGTTGTGAAAGAATGTCTTCCCTTTCTTCAATTATATATATTATTTATTTTCATCAAAATATTACTACCTTTCTCATGTTTTTTTAGTATGTACAGACATTGGCGGCAAGGGTATCGAGAAATTTTTCATCAATCTTCTTTTCTTACTGCTTTATTGAAACAGTACAGTGAAGTATGTTATACTGTTATTTGATATGTATTATTACATTCTTAATTGGAAAATAATTGCGTTATTAGCACTTAACTGTTAACTGTTAGAATTAAATATATCACATGCGTCATATAATATGTGATAATAGCTATTCTCCACTCATTAGTTCTTGTATTGAGCGATCCGGTCTACTGCAGAGTTTTGTCTCTCACTTCTAATAAGCTCTCCCTAAATAGTGTATGAGGTATGTGGTATGTAATGTGAGTAGTGAGAGGATTAGTGATCTTATATAACCACTGGTCATCATTATGATTGTATGTTTTAATTCTCAAACCCTAACTAGACTCCTAATCATAATGATAGTCTCAGGTTATTAGTGTTGCACGTACCACATATTAAATATTTAATATTATCATAACTTATCTTAGTGTTATAATCTAGTGTTATAATAATGATATAACAGGATTACGTTACATTAACTATTTAGTTTTGACTTATTGGTGCAAAAATAAAAACATTTATGGCTTTTGATTTTTTTTAAAAAATACTTTGTATTAACTCAACAAATTAAAGTTTGACTAGGTATATTTGTCATTTTACATTGAAAATGAATGTAAGTTTGCATTAGTATATATATAATTTAAATTTTTAATAAATTTAAATTGTGTAATATAAAAATTCTCTGGTGCAAGACACCAAATTTGAATTTTATGAAACGATTCTCCAACTACTTGTAATAGAATATTTGAATTTTATGAAATTATTCTCTAGAAGTTTATATTTATATATATCCAACCTTTGTCCTTTCTAGCTGTTGGTTGTCCGAAACTTCTCTTCAAAAGGCCAACCTTAATCTCCTCGATCTCAACTTTACACCAAACCTCTCCCCTCTCTACACATGATCTGGAATATGGAAGGTAGTGTAGATGAGGAGTTGTTGAGCCTTAGACTTGGCATTGCCACAGGATCAAATAAGAAGAAGATTATGATGAAGAGGAAGAGAAAGAGGAGAGATGACAACTTCATCAACAACACACTTGTGTTGAGTGATGACGAAAGCTATGAGGGTCAAATTTTTAGCCTCCTTCAGACGAGGGAACAGATGCTGAAAGTAGAAAAAAGAGCCGCCAAAGCGGTGGCGGACGAGGAGGAGGACAAAGGTGGGGGTCTTCACCTCATCCATCTCTTGTTAGTTTCTGCCACCGCGGTGGACGAAAATACCCCTGGCCCCGCTGCGGAGAGCCTCTCGGAGCTGTACCGACGCGCCTCCTTGAGCGGGGACGCGGTCCAGCGCGTGGCGGCCTACTTTGCCGACGCCCTGGTGGCGCGTCTCCTCACGAGAAAATCCCCGTTCTACCACATGATCATGAAACCCCCTACCCCTCACGAGCACCTCTTCGCCTTCACCCACCTCTACCGAGCCTCCCCCTTCCACCAATTCGCCCACTTCACCGCTAACCAAGCCATCATCGAAGCCTTCCACCAAGAATCCCACACCAACAACGCCACCCTTCACGTCATCGACTTCGACGTCTCTCACGGCTTCCAATGGCCTTCCCTCATCCAATCCCTCTCCTCCCCACCCACCAAAATATCCCTCAAAATCACCGCCTTCGGCCCAACCCTCTCAGAGCTCCGAGAAACCGAAGCGAGACTAGTGAGCTTCGCCAAGGGCTTTCGAAACTTATCCTTCTCCTTCACTGGAATGTTGCTCAACTCCATTGATTATTACACGTTAGCCAAAATAACCAAAACCCCCCACGAGACCGTCGCGGTAAACCTCGTGTTTTACCTAAACAGATTACCCAAATTCTCCGACGCTCTGAGAGCCGTCCATCTCCTCAGCCCGTCCGTTGTGACTGTAGTGGAACAAGAGGGCTTCTTCAGAAGCCCGCGGAATTTCTTGTCGAGGTTCATGGAGTCCCTCCATTACTTTGCCGCCATGTTTGACTCGCTAGACGATTGTCTCCCCATAGACAGCCAGGAGAGGCTGAGCATCGAGAAGAACTATCTGGGGAACGAAATCAAGAGAGTGATGACGAACAATGGCGGATGTGGGGAGGGGGACTTGATTGTTCCGAGGTACGAGAAGATGGAGACGTGGAAAGGGAGGATGGAGAGTGAGGGGTTTTGTGGGGTCAGATTGAGCTGTCAAAATGTGATGCAAGCGAAGCTGCTGTTGAAAATCGCGAGTAGCGGCGGCCATTGCTGTAGGGTGAGGTTTGATGGTGGGTTTAGAGTGTTTGAAAGAGACGATGGGATGGCCATTTCTCTGGCTTGGCAAGATAAGCCTTTGACAACTGCCTCTGTATGGCGCTGTGTATGACAACATACACGAATTCCCTTATTTATCTAACATATTCATTTCTTCTTTCTATATTCAAATATTCACCATCCCTGCCAAGCACTTTATATGCTCATATGGCACCTCTTTTCATTTCTTTGAGGAAAGGTCAAGATCAAACCCCAGAAGGTCATAGAATCAAGGGCTCAAGGCAAATTATATCGTGCACCAGGGCGCATCCAAAACGACGTCGTTTTGTATCTGTTTTTCGTTTCTGCACTTCTAAAAAAAAATTTCTCTGTTGCGTATGTACAGAATTGTATAGTAGAATACACATAAACTCTTAACATAATACACATAAACACAAGTGTTAAAAAAAACTGTAACGGGATTGGACGAACGGAACGGTGTCCGTCGCGTCAACTCTCCACCGTACCAACTTATAGAAACGTCGTTTTGGACCAGGGCGCACAATGCATTATGCACCCTGGTGCACGATATAACGATTGATAGAATCAAACTCGGATGGCGGACTGCAACAGATAGAAGAAATATAGAACAGATAATACCTATTTGTAATAGAGTTAATAGTACTCAAAAATAATATTCACTATCCCTTTAAAAAAAAATTGGTTTTGTGTTAGAACATTTCAAATAAAATGTGTAATATTGTTTTATTCATAGAAAAGTATTATATATCTGAAGTTAGACCTATTCTTTTTGTTTTTATTTTATTTTATGATAACGTTAGGTGCAAACGGATTTTACATACTTCAACCGTTCAACTTATATTAATTTGATAAAATTATGATATTGGTGCAGTAAGCCAATATCACTAGTACAAAAAACATCAATAAAATTGACTAATTCGCGTCCAAAGTTAGAACTTTGGACGCCTAAAGTGTAATGTGGTGGTATTTTTGTAATTAAAATGTCACTATATAAATAATTTTTTAAAAAAATTTTAAAACAAAATTGGCGTCCAAAGCTCTGTACTTTGGACGCCAATATTAAAAGTCTTCTATTATTAGCGTCTAAAGCTCAGTACTTTGGACACGAATAATAGAATCCCATTCATCACTCGCGTCCAAAGCGGCAAACTTTGGACGCGAAATATTTTTTAAATCCCAAATAACCCTAGCAACCCAGCAGCTGCTCCTATCTTCTCACGCGTAAACCATCGTCTTCATCCGCTCCGATCCATATCGTCTTCATCCGCTCCTATCTTCATCCGCTCCTATCTTCATCCGCCGCCCGCCGCTTTCCATCAGCCGTCCCCGCCGTCCATTCTTCACTTCGACGCCGTCCATCAGCCGGCCGCCGCTCTCCATCCGCATTGTCGCTGCTTCATCGTCCACCGCAAGCCGCCCAAGCTCGCCGCCGCTGACGCCTCCGGTCTCCACGCTCGCCGCCGCAGCCACGCACGCCGACTGCCGCCGCAGCTACGCACGCCGGCCGACCGCAGGTACGTAATTTTTATTTTTATTTTTTTTGTTATTTTTTTTCGAAAATCAGTAATTATTGTAATTGCAATTAGAAAATCAGTAATTATTTCGAAAATCATTAATTATTTCAAAGAAAAGATGTTTTCTAGTACTAAGCATTTCAAAGCAGTTTCGGCAGGGCATATTTTAGCTTATCTGTTGAAAGTGTTTTTCAAATAACCTTCTTAGCACTTCAAAGCTACAAAAAAATGAAATGAAAAAATAAGTGTTCCTTGTGAGTTGTGGCCTTGTGAGAAAATGTTATCAAAGGTATTCTATGTTGTACATATACAGAATTACAGATCCTGAAAATTCCTTGTATTTTAGTATTTTGTCTACAATTACATTTTTGTTGGGATTAAATGTTTTTTTTTTTTCATTTAAACTCCTCTCTTGAGTTCTGCATTTATATTTTCTTTCACTGCATGAGGCTATGAGCCATGTAAAGCATAAATGGTTTACTTTTTATTGCTCTTTGTTTCTTTCAGCATGCTCTCTTTTTAGCTTCCAATCTCTCTTTTCATTACAATTCCTCCAAATGAAATAGTTCTTGGCCATTCGCTGAAGTTAGTGTCTATTGTCAAGTAACGCACACTACCTAACCTGCTCCCCTGGGGCCTAAATATGAATATAAATTTTACATTGATTATTCAGGAAAGGAAACAAGACTTATAAATGGATTCTTAATTGGTGCTACTAACTTTGACTCATTCTTTTGCCTGTAGAGTACATGTTATTAGACCTATAAAGGAAAGAGCTTGAATGTTAATCATAGCATCTTTTTGGAAAGGAACATGTTTCTCTATGGGTTTGTGGATATAAATGAAGGTTGTGGAACAGAAAGAGTAAATGAACTTACAGAGATACAGAATGCTAGAGTCCAAACTGCATATGAGAAGTAAGGACTAAATTTTATAAAACTCCACCTTAAAACAAGGGTTTCCCTTATCCATTGTCTTTGGTTTCTTTGCTGCAACTGGCCAAGTGACCATAACCATTTTTGCTGTATAGGTTGTTTGCAAACATACGAATTGAGCACTACACCCATTTGGACATGGTATGCTCCAAAACACCTGGTCAGATAATTGATCGATGGATTGTTTCTTGCTATTTGCATTCCTGATAGATGGATATATCATATATGTTGTTGGATGACCCCACTATGACAATTTTCTGGCCTTGTTTCTGACTTAATTCATTCTTGGTCTGTTTTTTTCTACATATAAGAAAAGTTTCTCACTGTAAATGGTCATGGAAGCCAAAATTGAGGTCATATTTAGTTAATTATGTATATCTAAATCCTTTGTATTATCTATAATTTTTGCAGGTTAAACAAATGTTGATAGAATTGGTGTGTAGTGTACATCTTAAATTGATTAAATGTTGAAATATATTATTTGGTAGTTATGCTGGAATGTACAGGAAAATATTTGATTAATGTTGAAATATATTATTTGGTAGTTATGCTGGGATGTACAGGAAAATATTGGTAGTTTTATAAAAAAAATGTTTTTAAAAATTTTTTTTTTTACTATACGCGACCAAAGTTTCTCAACTTTGGACGCGTATAGTATTTTTTAAAAAATAAATAAACACTATACGCGTCCAAAGTTCACGAACTTTGGACGCGAATTATCATTTTTCACGTTCAAAGTTCTTCAACTTTGGACGCAAATAATCATTTTGCGCGTCCAAAGCTACTTTGGACGCTGATTGTTTATACAATCAGCGTCCCCGACATCTGCGTCCTAGCTACTTTGGACGCGAATTAGTCTTAACTTTGGACGCGAATGACTGTTTCTGTACTAGTGTATGTTTATTCATTTTCCTCCATTTTATTATTGTTTTGCAACTAAATTCTAAGTTACTTGCTCAAAAGCCATGTAGTGACCTCTCTCATAAAGAAGGTCGTTGACTCTTTGTGTTTTAATAAGTTGAGAAAGTATGAACATATACTACAATGTAATAGAGTCAGCAACATTCAAAAAAAAATTCTAACCAAGATTCTGTTTGACACATATAGGTTAAAAATTAGCTTATGATATTGTTTTAATTTGCAACTAAATTAGCTATTATTTTAAACTCTACTAATGTTTTACCTGTACGATACACGAAAAAAATTATGTTATTTTTTAGAATGAAAATTAGAAAAAATAAAAATATGTTAAGATTTATAATATAATAATATAGTTGCAATTTCATATATTTGGTAAAGTATCTATCTTCATAACATTAAATTAAAATTAAAATTTTGTATAGTTAATATAGTCTCTAATTATGTACACATTTAGATAAATTTATATAGAAAATTTACATAATTAAATTGATTTATTGTTATTTTTTGAGTAAATTTATTGTTAATTGTATTTCATATATATTATAATTTCAACAATACCAATAATAACTAATAGAATTATATTTAGAAATAAAAGAAGATGTAAATTTTAAATTTGTATGAGTAAATTTGAACTCTAATTCGATGAATTATCCTTCATTCAATTTATCGTTTATTAACCGTTAAAATTATGAATAAATTTGTAATTTTTTTTTTCACTACATTCAACTCTGAAACTTCATTTTGTTTTATCGACTCTAGTGATAACTTATTAAAATAATACACACATTTTAATGGATTGTGTAATTAACCTAGATTCAAAAACACAAATTGTAAAACATCTATATTATTAATCAAAATTTCAGTTATAACCCTTTTTTTTTTAAATAATCTCAAATTATTTTCATGAACTTTATATAACTTCCTCCTTCAAATCAAAACTCTATCATCTTTAAACTCAATAAGAAATTGTAAATAATTTAGTGATTTACTATTCTTTCAAAAGCCTTGAGCTTGTTTTGAATCTCTTGCACTTGAAACTCCAAAACTTACCTCATAAAAAAAGTATTCAAAATTATTTCTTGGATGTTTCATGAATCTTCTATACAAATTTTTTATTTCATCCAATTTATGAATAGTTGATGTCAGATCTTCGTAAATTGATGCAGTAGCTTTTCTCATTTAAAAGTGCATGGAGTGTTTGGAGATAAAGATGTGAGGTTTCAAACAATGAAAACATTGGTGAAGAGAGAATAAATAAGGGCATTGATGAATTGGATTTTTGTTGATGGTGCCTGGAGGCCGGAGACGACATATATTTCAAAAATTGAGCTTGAGAACCACCACTTTTTATTTGTAACGAACTTCTCAATGATATCGAAGAGGGTGTACACATTGTCATTTGCAACAAAAGTTTCCTTTGTTAGTGATTAGTTCAAACCTTCAAAAATAATCTTAGTCTTGAAGGCATGGGTAAATTTATAAAGCATCTTACGATCTACGATGACTTTGATGCTCTTGCCACCTCTAGCATCTCGCAACGTACTCCTCTATATACATATATCAATTTCATAACTAGAGAGGGAAAAGATGAATCAAATTCTTAGCTTTTGTTTGAGATTAGAAAAAAGTATATCAAAGTTAAATTAGGATGTGTGAAATTGGCTAGTGAGGGGGGGGGATGATAAGGGCATCTCCAATGTGGGGAGAAAGGGTTGTGGGAGGGAAGGTTTTTTTTTTTTTTTTTTTTTTTTTTTTTTTTTTTTTTTCTACAGAGATATTGTTCTCTCTAGAGAAAAGGGGTTTTAAGCACGTGGAGGCACGCACCTGGCCTGCATGCGCTACGCACGGTGGGGGGACAACTGTTTCCCACCATGACATCATATAAAAAAAATTAAATTCTCTCAACAGTCATATTGATGGTTGACGAAAGATTTTTTTTTTTTTTAATTAAGTTTTATTCCTCCTCAATAGCTAATTGATCATTGAGGATTTTTTTTAAAAAAATATTTCTATCCATATATATACTCTAACTCTCAAATTTTGTCCAAACTTATATTTCCTTTCAAAATTTTATTGACTCTCACAATTTCTCCATTCAATTTGCAATTCATCTCAATATATCTTCAAATAGGAAGAATAAAATTTAAATGCCCCAAAGATTCCCAATCAATATTATCCATATCCACATCTAAATTATTGAAACCCTTATTACCAATATCCATATCCTCCTTCACCTTCTAACCAGTGCATGATTACCCACATCTACCTCATTATCCATATCATTCTCTCAATTTATATTACCCTCTGCTCAATTATAACCCAGATCATAGTAATGAATCAAGGATCGGAGTACCGTACTAGTATTGATTTGTGGCGCACAATTACCAAAGATTTTGAAAGAGGCACTGATCGATTTGGAGATACGTATTGGCAACATTTCACAAACTACTACAATGACCATCGCCCTGAAAAATAGTATATCGTGAATGACCAAAGGTAAAAAAACACATTTTTATCTCATAATAAATAAGGTTGCTGATTCAATTCCATTTACAAAAAGAACAAAAAAAAAATACACACACACACACACAAATGACAATGACGTGTCATTTTTATCTCATAAGAAATAAGGTTGCTGATTCAATTCCATTTACAAACACACACACACAAATTAAGATGAGTTCAACCAAGCGGAGCAAATGACAATGACGTATTGATAAACATTCACACAAAATATAAAAACAATTATAATGTATCACACTTTCCTTACAAACATGTGTGATACTTGCTTAAAAACTACCAATATTTAGATTCTGATATGTCTTCTAGTAGGCATGAAACTAAAAAAATGAAAACATTATTATCCGAACAATACATGCATATCGCAATTGAAGACGAGACTGCTGATTTCGATGATGTTGAGCTTGCACAAAAGGCTACCAAGAGGAAAGACAAAAGCAAACAGGAAACTTCCGAACAAGATGCCGACAAACTAGGGGAATGAATTGAAAATTATGCTACGGCCTAAGAAATATACACCGAGGCATTAGAGTTGCAATTATTGTATAAAGATACCTCACAAATGACAAACGAACAACTAGTAAATCACAAAAAGGTTTGCGACTATATCATGAAGAATTATTTATGTATTTTAACTTTATTTGAATTTAAAATCAAAATTTAAAATTTATAATTATAGTAAAGTGAATAAAATAATAGATGATATGGAGAACTAGGGGTGGGGCGGGGCGGGGGGGGGGGGGGAGCGGGGAGGGGAGGGGGGAGGAGGAATGATTAGAAGGAAAGTAAGGGAAGAGATTAAAATGTTGTTGTGGAATAATTAGGTGGTTGAGCCTAAAAAATAAGAAAAAAAAATGGGAGAAGTGTTGTGGATAAGAGATATTATCAGTACCACAAGCTCTTAGAATGTATGGAAATATATGATTGCTGATTTTAGGCTCCTTGATGCTTCTCATATGAAGAAGGACTCTGATTGAATTGAAGTTCCAATTTTACAGTAAAATTTATCAATCATTTAATAGTTTTATTAACTAAATCAAATTAAATATATTTAAAAAAAAATCAAATTAAGTTAAGTACAAATAATAGTCAAATATTTCCTAAAAAAAAAGCAGTCAAATATTCAAAATATATAATATATAACTTTAAAAAAATTAAAAATAGAATTAAACAGTTGAAATCAGATATTAACTCTTTAAAATGACAAAATCCTATACTTTATAGTTTATACTCCGTATTTCCCGTCAGCAGCTAAGCAGCTTGTGATTTCTGAGGGTAGTCTGGTAATTTCGTCCACCACTAGCTGTAAACAGAAAAGTAAAAGAAAAAAAGAAAAAGAAAAAAGAAGACGACAAAAACCTAATACAAATTCTTTTTCAATGTGTCCGATGTTGAGATCTTAGAGAAGAAGCGCTGAAAGTGTGCCTATACGGAGGTATGAAATCTCTTAGACAAGTTTTTGTTTTTGTTTTTGTTTTTCTTTTACGGAGTAATATTATTATTTTTGGGCACAAAATACTTCATTTCTGGCGTTTATCAATTGTTAGATTAGAGATTAATTTTAGTGTGTATATTTATATAATTGCATTATTCTTTCTTTACGCAATAGTTCAAGTCTAATTAATGTCAATTTAATTTGTCTGTCTGGGGGAGATTTGAAACTCCAGGGTTGCTTTGAGTTGCTCAATAAGCAGAGAAGATCCTGGAGTTTTTAAGTGTATGTAATCATATAACCACAAGTATTTCAAGGTCCATTTGACTCTTTGCTGAGATTTGTGGGCAATTGTGTTGTGCATTCCAAACTCTAGCTAAGTCCATTTTAATTACCCAGTCATTGCAGTTAGGAAATTGTAATTGTAATCCGTTCTTAAGGATAAGAAACCTAATCTCTAAATACTTGGAGAGTCAGAGAAATGGACTGAGTTGTTTCTGCAGTTTGATACTTTGATTGGTGGGGTTGTAAGTAATTTTAGATGTTAGGTGAGATATGGGGATAAATTATAATCCATTCTTTGAGATATTCAGTACTTTCAATTTCCAGCTTCTTGCAATTACCAATGATTAATTATAAATTTATAATGCACTCCCTTTTCAGTAGAACTAATAATTCTCCTATTTTTGTAATAATTACACATTTTTGTTGCTATGTGTAAACCAATTACAGCTAGATTAAATGTGCTGTGTTATATTAGACTATAAGGGTAATCGGAGCTGTTGACATGTGTGCACTAATTACAGCTAGATGAATGTGATGCCAGTTTTTGCCAAATGTTGGAAAAATAGACTATTGCTTTTTCTCTGCTCCAAGCTTTTATTTTTACCTGATAAATGATACGGATTATATGTTATACATGATTGAAACAAATGGAAGAATGTTGTAATGTTATCTTTCTCTTCTTTCCAAAATCTATCAATTTACAATAAGGATAAAAGTCTCACCTGATTGACGGAAACAGGGAAAAAAAAATATTTAGAAAAGGTGATACCGGGTTAATGATCTCCAAATATTTTAACTTTGTGTGGTGAGGGTGGGTAAGGTTTTGGATCCTTTAGTAGTCATATAACATTTTTAATATGTGTTGCAAAAAATCAGTGATATCTTGGGCTACACTAAATCAGTGAAGGAACTTTTTTGGTGGCTGGAGCATCTGCAAGATGAAAAGATAACCAGGGGTTTGTGGCAAACATCCCCCTTCTTCTGTCTGCTTTGGACCTTTGGTTAGTTTGAAATTGTAAACTGATACATGAATAACATGATTGCATGGGCTTAATAAGTTGATTCCTAAACTATCCTGATTGTAAATCTTTTGTAACTTTTCCAACTATCATGTAGGTGCTTTTCTCGGTTAGAATAACTACTCTTATGAGAAAGAAAGAATGAAAATACAAATTTGAAATACAAACTGCAGGGACCAAGGTTCTAGGTTTGGATAACAGTATAACTCCTGTTATGATTGAACCATGTGACCAACTACCATTTGGCTATTAGAGATTCAAACCTGATAATCTGATATGCAAATTGATTTTGGAAATTAGGTAATTTTGCTTCAATTTGCGAGTTTCTGAAATTTTCCCTACTTTGGGTGCAAATTAGGCTACCTCAAACTCAGCTTTAACCAACTTAATTAGCTAAGGCCTCATTGGCTTCTAGTTGTTCTATTTGGATTCCTAGAATCACTAACATCCACAATACAATATTGGTCTTGAGTTGTTGACCAATTCATCATAGTGCTTTATCTCCTTGCTTGTTTTCTGCTGAGGTAAGTTTTTGAAATACTCTATTTTAAAAAATATATAATTGTGTCTGTGTGCGTGCACCTGTGTGTGTGTGTGTGTGTAACTGTGTATATATATATATATATATATATATATATATATATATATATATATATATATATATATATATATATATATAAAGTGAATATTATTATTAGAAGAATATTTCTTCTTGCTATTTGCTCCTTTCACCCAAAAGTGAATGAAACAATTTGACAGGGTTAGCAGATAAGGGGTAAAATCTAATAAGTTTTAACTTGTTGGAACAGTTTGAATATTCAGAATACATGAACAAGTTGTGAATACACAAAAATATAACAGTGGGAGTATGTGGAAAAGGTATAATTTAGGTGAAAAACATCATATGAATTAGTACTTTCACTAACAGATTGCAATTCTTGGATCCTAATCTCTACTATTTTCAGAAATCATCATTCATTTGGGAAAAATGGATGTGGAAAACTGAAAACCATTTCTTTATTATGGGTGCAGGGACTATTTTACTCTTTTCTTTTTATCTTTTACACTTCTTGTTGATCATCTTCATTATCTTATCAGCTTGAATTGTTGCAGGTGTCCACTGTTTTACTTCTTTTGTTATTGCTGGATCCAAATGACATTAGTAGATGAATGATGAAGCGTTTCGTTTATATTAATGATGATGATCTATCACAAAATATTTTTTGTGACAACCGCATATCTAATCGAAAATATACCTTATGGAATTTTCTTCCAAAGAACTTGTGGGAACAATTCAGGTAAATATGGCTTGTCTCTCGCCATTTCTCTTGGAGTTCACAACTCCCTCAGCTGTATTATATCATTTAGTTCCCTTTTCTGTACTTGTAAATATCTTAATGTGAGAGTTGGAATACGTGATCATTATTTAGAAGCCATCATGTATTTTTAGTATTTGTAATATCCTTTGTATTTTATAATATCTTTTATGTTCATATTTTTAGTTGCTATAGTAGGCATTATAGATAAATATTTGGAACCCTAACCTTGTTATGGCGAGGGCTCATTCATTCTACATTCTAAATTCTCTTTCTAATAGTGAGTGTTGTTTCCTTTTCCAGTCGGTTTATGAACCAATACTTTTTGTTGATTGCTTGCCTTCAACTGTGGTCACTCATTACACCAGTAAATCCAGCTAGCACATGGGGTCCCCTTATTTTTATATTTGCAGTCTCAGCAACAAAAGAGGCATGGGATGATTACAATAGATCTCTCTCAGACAAGAAAGCAAATGAGAAAGAAGTTTGGGTTGTACGGCAAGGCATTAGAAAACATGTATGAGTAAATGTTTCATATCATCTATTCCTTCCTGCTTTTGTCATTTTCATCTTTCTCACATCTCTCATAATTGTTGAAATATAGCTTTCCAGTCATTTTTATTTTAAAATATGTATCTGGTAATTCCATATAGTGCGATTATCTCAATCAAAGTTTTTTGACAAACAGTTGTTTCCTTGTAATGGGAAATAGTGCTATAGTCTTCTTTTTGATCTACTGTTTCATATTTTATGTTTCTCCCCCTGCCAGATCATGTATCTCTTCTCAAACTTTTTGTTTCTATTTTCTGTATCGGTAAAAATGAAATGATACATGGATTATCCTACTACTAAAGAATGATGATCAATTGTCCTTTTACCTAAATCAGTACTGATTACTATAGCCGTGATCCAAATTCATAATAGATACAGTAATTTATGAAACTACAATCTTAAGTTTTATCTTAATATAGCAGTAGAGATGATAGCTTAGTCAATGATACTGTCTCCTTCTACATTGCTATGTTTCAAGCATTGCCTTGAGTCTCTTGATATTTATTTGGTATTGGATGGTAGTCTTGGCATTTATGATTATGATACTTCTATTTTGATAAAATTGACTTTCAATTGATTTCCAAATCTTTGGAGTTTGATCATTGTTCACTTGCAAGTTGCTTGCTATACTTTGTTCTTTATAGAATTATTCTTTTTGATTGTTTCTTTAATATGTATACTTTACCTTTCATCTTGTTGTATCTTTCTGATGTTGAATTTCCATTTTCTGATCTATTGTGCATGGTAGATTCAAGCTCAAGACATTCATGTTGGTAACATAGTGTGGCTTCGTGAGAATGATGAAGTCCCTTGTGATCTTATCTTAATTGGTACTTCTGATCCACAGGGTCTGTGTTATGTGGAGGTAAAAATTATTGTAATTATTACATATATATATATATATATATATATATATATATATATATATATATATGATGTTTTATTACATGGAACTTATCTTGGACTAAACATTCTCTTTACTACTACTTTTATTCCAGTTGCATTTGCTTAACAACTTATACATTAAAAAAGAAATAAAAGGGATAAGGGTCAACTAGGCCCTTGAACTTTCATGGAAAATGAAATTAAGCCATTTAACTACCAAAACTTCAAATAGGCCCTCAAATTGCAAAAGATGTGCAATTAAACCCATTTTACGAGGTATTGTAGGTAACCAACTAACCATCAAGTAATAGTTTGTGGATGGCACTTCATATATTTTTTTTAATCATGGATTTGGACACCAAATAATGTATTTATTACTAATTTGGATACCAAATCATATTTTAATTTTATACGGAGTAATTATTATTATTCGTCCAAAGCTAACATAAATAAATTAAAATTTAAAAATAAAAATTACCCCTTAAAATTTTTTTATTAAAAAATTATTTACTAATATTAATTAAAATGAAAAGTAAATTAAAAAATAAAAACATTAATGGTTTACAAAAGAGTGAATTTTAATTTCCTTCTACGTTGAATTTGGGCGAAGGAAGCATTCTTCGTCCAAATTTGACAAGGTGTATTTTTAAAAATTAATTTCTTATTCTTAAAATTTTTTATATTATTCATAGCAGCTTTGTATGAATAATAATAATAATAATAATAATTATTATTATTATTATAATTATAATTATAAACATATGAATTTGTATAAATTCAGAAATAAATATAATGATTTGTTGTCCAAATCAGTCAAAAAAAATATAAATGAAGTGGCATTCACGTAATAAGTAATACTCTTTCTAAAGATTTTAAATGTTCTGTCTTTTGAGAAGCTGCCGTATGCAAAATTATTAAACTTGATTTACTTTGCTAGCAGCAATACTTGTGTACTTGCATTGTGTAAACTGATTTGGGATGGTTTATTATTATTATTATTATTTTTAAATAAATTGGGAAATCCAAGGAATGCCCTGTTTTGATGAGGACTACTTGCAATATGTCATGGCACAGAAATTCATTTTCAGAAGCATCCAAAACCAGCTTATTTGAGCCTGCCTTCTTGAATGTAATAGTATATTATAACAAAATTTAAAGTAGTGGCTACTTTGTAATTTTCTAATGTCTTATGAAATTGTGATTTCAAAGAAAATCTTAATGCTCTAGTTCCTCTATATTTTGCATCATGGATGGCATTTCTGCAGTCAACACTGAAAAGATTGGGAACTTAAATTTGAGAAATCTCCATTGGAATGGTGATCTTCCCAAGTGTTGACCTTAACTCCATGTACATTGTCCAAAAGAAAACGTCTGACTCTTCTTTTAAAATCCTTGTGTAAAACAGACTGCATAAGATTTCCTAGACTGTCTGTAAAGTCATATCTAAAGTGTGGCCCCAATGCTGTACTACAACAGATCCCATTTGGAGGTTCTTCCTGCAAATGCCTTCCAATGGAGCCTTCTTCTTCTTCTTCTATTGGAATTTCTAAAATTTAATAACTCCACGTGCTTTGTAGACATCTGCCCTTGATGGTGAAACTGATCTGAAGACAAGGGCAGTAGCTCCTGCTTGTATGGGTATTGATTCTGAGTTATTGCATAAAATCAAGGTAAGTTAGTTATACTCTTAACTTTTCGGAAGGTATTCATTAATGTTTGAGAAGCTCAGCCACTTGATATATGTATTTAGTTACCTATTTGCACTTTTCTTTTGTAGGGTGTGATTGAGTGCCCCAATCCTGATAAAGATATCAGAAGATTTGATGCAAATATGAGACTGTTTCCTCCATTTCTTGATAATGATGTGTGCCCCTTGACCATAAAAAATACAATACTTCAGTCATGCTACTTGAGGAACACAGAGTGGGCTTGTGGAGTTGCAGTTTATACAGGCACGTGTCAGTTTCGGAGTTTATAAGTTATTGCTATAATGCTATGTTAAACTGTTAATAATAAGTCGTCCACACTGACATGGAATGGAAGTAGGACAATTCTTAAATAGTGGTGTAAGCAAGTCAAACTAGTCGTAAGCTACTTGGGTTTGACTTGATGAATGTTTGAATTTGATTTGGTCACTATTGAGCTAAGTTTGAGCTCGGGTAGTTAGATTAACAAGTTGAGCCGAATTCAAGCTTCTTAATACTCGGCTCAAGTAGCTTGCGAGTCTAATTGAGCTTTTTATATTTTATATATAATATAAATATAATATTATAAATTTAGTCTGATGGTATTCGATCTAGACTTTTAAAGTCTATTAGTATTTGATTCGGGCTTTTAAAGAGTCTTTAAAACTTTTAAAGAGTTTTTAAAAGTCTACTGGTATTCAAAAACTTATAAAAACTTTTATAGACTCCATCAAATTAGGATTTCTGTAGACTTTTAGTTGAAAATTGAAATCTAACCCTCCAACCCCAGACTTCTCAACTTTCTCTACTTGAATCAGACAAACTTTCCAAAATTTAGGATACATTTTATAACTTTCATAAAATACTCATATATTTTGATTTTATTTATTTTTAATGTTCATATATACTTGTAAAAAATCATTGTTTATTTTTGCTATGAACAACCTATTTGTAGCAATTTTGTGCTACGAACATGCTGCTGTTCCGCCTGTTCGTACTTCGTAGCAAAAATTCGTTGCTGCGAACAACAGCTTGTTCGTAACATAAATAATTATGTTGCTAATTGTTTGTAGCAAAATAAATAAAATTTATAATGAAATTAGGTTAAATTACTTTTAACAATTGTGGTTAGGTTAGGTTATAGGTTAGGTTAAATTGTTTTTCAATTTTTTTGCACTTGAATTATTTTTATACAAATATATATATATATATATATATATATATATATATATATATATATATATATATATATATATTTTATACAAAATTATATTGTAATCATATGTGAATTACTAATTATTAATGTCTACTTATTAAATTATAGTTTGATTTTATGTATTTTTTTTAAGTTGATTTTTTTTTTTTTCAAATTATTACAAAAAAGAATATAATTAAAGATTTTTTAGTGCTTCACATGCATTCTATAGTAGTTGTTAAAAGCTAGAAAGGGTTCTTGTATTTTATCTAACTTCAAGTTACAAGTCTATATATAGGTCTACAAGAGTAAACAATAATAAATAAAGAAACTACTCATCTCCCCAAGGCTTTAATTACTAAGGCTAGTGAGCTGCCCAAGACTTTTAATATTCCAACACTCCCCCTCAAGTTGGAGCGTATAAATCAAAAGCTCCCAGCTTGCTACAAATGTATTCAATCCTAGGTCCACGGAGAGATTTGGTGAGAACATCAGCAAGTTGATTATTTGACCCAACAAATGTGGTAACAATGTTTCCGGATGCGACCTTCTCTCGTATAAAGTGGCAATCAACCTCAATATGTTTAGTCCTTTCATGGTAGACAGGATTAGACGCAATGTGGAGCGCTGCCTGATTATCACAAATTAATTTCATAGGACCATGCTTATAGAAATTGAGTTCTGTAAGAAGTTGTTTAACCCAAATTAGCTCACATATTCCAAGTGCCATTGCTCGGTATTCAGCTTCTGCGCTTGAGCGTGCAACCACATCTTGTTTCTTACTTTTCCAAGAGACAAGATTACCTCCAAATAGAATACAATATCCTGATGTTGATCTCCTATCCCAAGGACATCCAGCCCAATCTGCATCTGTATAGCCAACAATTTCTGTATGTCCATGATCTTTATAGAGTAACCCTGTACCTGGAGACCTTTTCACATATCTCAATATTCTGACGGCTGCATCCCAATGACTTTGACATGGCTCTTGCAAAAATTGGCTAACTACACTTACAGCAAAGGAGATGTCTGGTCGAGTGATAGTCAAGTACAATAGCTTGCCAACTAATCTCCGATACTTACTTGGATTGGATAGGAGCTCCCCCTGTCTTGGAAGAAGTTTGACATTTGGATCCATGGGTGTGTCAATTGGTTTGCAATTTGTCATTCCTGTTTCTTCAAGAATATCCAAAACATATTTTCGTTGAGTCACATAGATACCTTGTTTGGATTGAGCAACTTCAATACCAAGAAAATACTTCAATTTTCCAAGATCCTTTGTCTCGAAATGTTGAAACAAATGTTTCTTAAGCTGATTTATTCCTTCACTATCATTCCCTGTAATGACAATATCATCAACATAAACCACAAGATATATACTTTTTCCAAGTAGATGTTTATAGAAAACAGAATGGTCAGCCTTGCTTTGAATCATGCCAAATTGTTGGATTACATCTCTAAATCTCCCAAACCAGGCACGTGGAGATTGCTTCAACCCATAGAGAGAGCGCTTAAGACGACAAACAAGATTAGCTCCTGTCTTAGCCACAAATCCAGGTGGCTGCTCCATATACACTTCCTCATTCAGATCCCCATGTAAGAAGGCATTCTTTATATCCAACTGATATAGTGGCCAGTGATGGTTGGCTGCCATTGAGAGTAAGAGGCGGATAGAAGTGATCTTGGCCACCGGTGAGAAAGTATCCGTGTAGTCAATGCCAAAAACCTGTGTGTATCCTTTAGCCACAAGTCGAGCTTTGAGTCTATCAACTTGTCCATCTGGACCAATCTTCACATTATACACCCATCTACAACCAACCACAATTTTACCAGGAGGTAAAGGTACTAACTCCCAAGTCCCGGAAGAATGTAGTGCTTTCATTTCATCAACCATTGCTTGAGTCCACCCTGGATTAGTTAATGCCTCCTTGACATTGTTTGGAACAAAAGCAGTTGACAAACTAGCAATGAAGGCACAATATGATGGAGACAGACGTTTTTGTGAAAGGAAATTATAGATAGGGTAAGGATTTCGAGTGGATCTTTTACCTACCCGACTGGCAATGGGAGAGTCTGTCGTGGTGTTTTGGGCAGCATCATTGGGTAACAATGATGTAGAACATGACTCAACTGGATATCTATCCTCTTGGGAATCTTGACGATTGCGTCGTTGGTAGGTGTACAACAACGGTGGAATATGTCCTTCCTCTTGAATGGTTGGAGTTGGAATAGTTCTTTCAGGAATAGGTATGGTCCTTTCAGGAACAGTGGGAGATATAGGTTCTGAGAAAGTAGGAACAGGGAGAATTTCTGTGATTTCAATGGGTTCCCCTAGGAAATTAGACTCAACGGAGGTGGAAGAGAAAAAAGGTGTTGTTTCAAAAAAGGTAACATCGGAAGAGGTATAAAACCGGTGTGTTCTAGGACAGTAACACTTAAAGCCTTTTTGGAGGCGAGAATACCCAAGGAAAACACATTTTATTGCCTTGGCATCAAGTTTATCACGCCCTGGAGAAGTATTATGAACAAAGCAAGTACACCCAAAGATTCGCAATGGAAGCTTATGGAGAGGTTCCTGTGGACGTAAGATATGAAGAGGAATTTTTCCTTGCAAAACAGAGGAAGGCATCCGATTTATGAGATAGCAAGAGTGAAGTATAGCATGCCCCCAAAAATTCTTAGGTACCTTGTTATGAATAAGCAAAGTACGAGCTGTTTCAACAAGATGACGAATTTTTCGTTCAGCAACTCCATTCTGTTGAGGAGTTCTAGCACATGATGATTCATGAAGTATTCCATTTGAGGAAAAGAAAGAAGTGAAAGGGTCAGAAAAATATTCTCTTGCATTATCACTGCGTAAGATTTTGAGAGATGCCCCAAATTGATTCACAATTTCATTGTAGAATTTTTGAAACACATCAAATAATTCAAAACGGTTCTTCATTAGAAAAACCCAAGTGCATCGAGAGAAATCATCAATGAAGACAACAAAATATGAGAAACCCAAAGTGGATGAAACTCGACACGGTCCCCAAACATCAGAGTGAACTAAAGAAAATGGGGTATTGGCCCTCTTATTCACTCTACTAGGATATGAAGCTCTTGAGTGCTTCCCAAGCTGACATGATTCACACTCTATGGTTTTTAAATTCGACAATCCAGGAACCAGTTGTTTTAATTTATTGAGGTCAGGATGTCCTAAACGACAATGGTTAAGAAGGGGTGAAATAGAAGCCGAGCAAGCTGTTTTGGTATTGGCGGAACATGAAAGATGGTATAGACCTCGTGATTCATATCCTACACCAATTGTCCCTTTTGTTTGACGGTTCTGAATAACCACCGAATCAGAAGAAAAGGTGACAAGGCAATTAAGTGAGTGAGTAAGTTGATTAACTGAAATCAAATTGAAATGGCAACCAGGAATGTAAAGGACATTGGATAAAGACAAAGAATGAATGGTGACTTTTCCAATTCCTATAGCTTTTCCTTTTGATCCATCACCAAATGTGACATCGGGAAGAGAATCTGAGAACTCAATATTAGAGAAAAATGAGAGATTACCAGAAATGTGATCAGTGGCTCCAGAATCAAGAATCCAAGATGAATCAGATTTTAATGCAAGAGCAGTATGAGACAAGTTGGTCCTGGCAACTTTCAGCATACTGTTTAAACTTTCATGTTTTGCCATAGCTTTCAGAAAAATATGAGAAAATCACCATATAATCGCAGACAAGGGACGAACTGATTTGGAAAATTTTGTCGGAAAAGGGATGATGAACAGTCACCACTGTTCATTGGCTGTAGGTGTTTGAGAGAAATTTCAGTCCCCAAAAAGAGGCTCTGATACCATGTTAAAAGCTAGAAAGGGTTCTTGTATTTTATCTAACTTCACGTTACAAGTCTATATATAGGTCTACAAGAGTAAACAATAATAAATAAAGAAACTACTCATCTCCCCAAGGCTTTAATTACTAAGGCTTGTGAGCTGCCCATTTAATTACTAAGGCTAGTGAGCTGCCCAAGACTTTTAATATTCCAACAGTAGTTACAAATGGGAGACTCTCACCAAGAAAAGAGTAAAGGAAAAAATGAAGTTGTTGGGAGTTATGCATTGTGGACACCGGAAGAGAGTAACAAGGTGCTACAACTTATGGTTGATGCGGTAAAAAAATGGATGACGTGATAGTAGTGGAGGTTTAAGCAAGTTAACTGTGGAAAAAAAATACTTTCGGTTCTTAATGAAAAGTTTGGGTGTCAAAAGATGGTATGCACAATACCAAAGTTGATTGAAATGGTTTAAGAATTGTTTTAAGTTTTAACAAATTTTTTTGAGCTTATGCGTTATAATTCTGGATTTGGTTGGTATGCAATTATAAATAATGTATCAATAGAACTATAGAAGTTTTGAAAAGTTTTTAAGGGTGTATTCAATTTGGAGTTTTATTGACTTCTGTAGATTTTTTAATATGAAAAAGTTTTTAAAAGTTTGACATATAGACTTTTATAAATATCTAAGAGAGATTTTATGAAAGTCATTTAAAATTAATCACTTTAAAAGTCTATATAAATCTTGATGAATACACCTCCCTAGTGTTTGATTTTTCAATCCTGTTTGTTATAGAAGTGCTTATTCTATAAATATTCTATTCAAGACTGGAAATTTTTGGGCATATATGTGCACATAGGGAATTATGAAACTCTTAAATTATGGTCCTCTGAATTTATTATGGCATTTACCACTTGCGACTTTAATGACAGTACTACCTCTAGTATTTAGTGAAGTTGCTGAGAAATCTTCATTCCATTTTCTTAACTGTTTTTAGTGGTGGATTATGCAATTTATTTGTATTTCTTTCTCAATCCTGAAGATTTTCTTCTTTCCATCTATATCTACTTCAGGAAATGAAACAAAACTGGGGATGAGCAGGGGTCTACCTGAACCCAAGCTTACAGCAGTTGATGCTATGATTGACAAATTGACGGGAGCAATATTCATTTTTCAAATTGTTGTTGTCATGGTTTTGGGCATAGCTGGGAATGTGTGGAAAGATACTGAAGCGAGGAAGGTTTATGTCTTTTGCAACATGTTACTTCTATTTTTCCTCTTATGAGATGCAGCATGCAGACTAAGTTACTGCATGTATTTATTTCTGCATTCCACCTTAACTTTTTATATGGCATGAAAATTCAATATAAACCATGCATAATAATAGTCTGCTAGCTAAGGAATTTGGCTGAAAACTTTTTACATATGTGTTAGTTAAACTTTGAGTTTATTGATCATATTATGTTTTTCTTCATTTTTTGTGTGAGGTTTTGTTTCTTCAGTTGCTTTTCTTTCTGTGCTTTGCTTCATGAAGAAATCAAATAATGTTATGTGGACAGAATAAGGTATATTTGTTAGGACAAAAAAGAAGAAGAAAGAAACGATCTTGCCACTTTGCTATATCAAAATGCAACTCTACGTCTCTACCTGTCCTGCACAAGAAGCAAAAATTTGGCATAAGATTTTATGGCAAGAGCTATGTGCCCTGAAATGCTGCCCTTTTAGTGTGGCAGCTTTTGTTGTTATATTTTTGTTTCTGGGTAGAGTAGTTTTTAGTTTTGTGAATGACTGAGTTGTCTATTGTCGTTAATGGAAAAATAAATGTAATTTCAATTAGTTAATGATGTACATTCTTTACTATACTTCTGATTATGCCCTACACATTTTATGTCTTGTAGCAATGGTATGCCAAGTATCCAGATGAAGGTCCATGGTACGAGTTATTGGTCATCCCACTTCGTTTTGAGCTTCTTTGTTCCATCATGATACCCATTTCAATAAAGGTTGGCCTTAAAGTCTGCTTTTCTCAGTATTGTATCTATGAGCTAATGAAGTTTTCATTTTGTGTTTGTAATGATTCCTTTTCTTTGGCAGATTGCTAAAATTACTATCTAAATGAAGTAAAACTGCTATATTATACTCTAATAGATAAGTTCTATGTGCAAGCTTACTGCAGCATTTCTAAGTTCTAACCAACCTTATGTTTTTATGATGATATTTCCAAAAAATCTGCATCAGTTGGGTTCTTGCCTTATAATTTGAACTAGGAATCTATGAGAGCTAGTGGTTTTGTTGGCTTAAACATTATCTTATAAATCTTTATTTACATTTTAAAAAAATATAATAATAAGAGATGCAATTGCAAACACAGTTCTAGGACTTTTATTCTAAAGAGTACTAAATTTGATTTATAATTAGATGACAAAAGCTGTTTTTGTATGAGATTGACATCTCGTTTCAGAAGCCATGTAATATCTTTTAAGCCTGCAATTACTGTTATTCAACAGCTTCAACTATTTTCTTTTTCTTGGTGTGGCAGGTATCTCTAGATCTTGTGAAAAGCTTGTATGCAAAATTCATTGACTGGGACACTGAGATGGTTGATTTGGAAACTGGGACAGCATCGAAAGCAACAAAGTAATAAACATTGACCACCAAGATTCTTAGCATATTATTTAAATTAGAGTACTCTGTTTGTGTTGATGTTCACATGCATTTAAATTTTATTTTAATTTATTTTTGTTTGCTTGTAATTGACAGCACAGCAATTAGTGAGGACTTGGGACAAGTAGAATACATTTTGACTGACAAAACAGGGACACTCACTGAAAATAAAATGATTTTTAAAAGATGTTTTGTTAATGGAAGTTTCTATGGCAGTGAGAATGGAGATGCTGTAAAAGGTAAGATTTGACTTTCTTTGTTTTAGTTTATCTCCCCTTTCCATGATTCCTATTAGGATCTTTTATTTATTTATTTATTTTTTTTTTTGAATTGTTTTATCATTGATACATGTGATTATATATTACTTTGGTATTATTTAAATCCATGACCTTTGTTCCAATTCATTTATAAGAGCTGACCACATTTTGATCTTAGAATACTTGCTCAAGAAATCTCATCATAATAGGGCTTTACAAATAATATGGATCTGACATGCTAGATTGTTGCAGAGTTGCAGTTATGCTTTTGTTAGATTTCCTGCTACATCTTTCTGTCTACATTAAACTTCTTACCATGTTCTTCTTATGGGAGTCAAGTCCAAGCAATGAATCCAAGGACCGAGTAAAAACACAGGCAGTAGAGAGCCAACATCATATTTGAGACTACCAAAGTCCTGAGAGGAAGAGAAAAGGGGAATTTGCATGTTTGGTGTACTTGAGTTGCACCTTTGATGCATTTAATGAAATTTGACACAAAAAAATAAGGAGGCTAGAGATATCTCCATCTGGTAGAACAATAACATGCCTGTATAGGGTGCTGGAGTTTGTTTTTTGTATAGTTTCTTTTTTAAGTTGGTAGTGCACCGTCTTCAATATTTAAGTACCCTTACTTCTAGAAGGGCCACCAATTAATAGAATATGAAAACATATTTAAAAATCTTTATAACGTTCCAATATTCCATATCCCTAGCAAAATGAAAGAGTCGAATTCTCTTCTGTCACATCAGTTTCACTCATCTAAAAAAAATCCTCAGTTCTACTCCCAAAATCAGTTCATGTCTAATAAACAATGTCATGCTTTTCTTCTATGCTGCTTAGCTTGATCCTTCCTGGGCATCACATTAAATATGCAATTAGTGCTCACACAAAGCAGTAATTCCAAAAGTTTCTTCCTTTTGCCAGACAAATGAGTTTTTTTTTTTTTTTTTTTTTTTTTGTTTTTGTTTTTTTGTTTTTGTTTTTGTTTTTTGTTTTTTTTGTTTTGTTTTTTTTTTTTTTGTTTTTGTTTTTGTTTTTTTTTTTGTTTTGTTTTTTTTCTTTTGTTTTGTTTTGTTTTGTTTTTGTTTTTGTTTTTTGTAGTTACACGATAATGCTTATACCTGGCGAATTTGGTTGACTTTATTAGCTAGATGGAGGATTAGTTTAGGCGAGTATATTGAGTTTGTGGTTTGTTGGGTGAGGTTGGTCATGTGTTAACTAAACTTCAGATTTGTTGGGTGAGGTTCCAGTTTGTGCACCAGTTTATTGGCTGGCCTAGTGACAATAAATGCATCCATATGCAACTTGATTGTACCTTATTGTGCCAGTGAGTAAAATTGTAAAAACTTAAAAACTCAACTCAATTAAGCCTTGTTCTTAGTTATGGCCAACTATATGGACTCTATTTCTCCATTCATTTTTTTAAGAAGAAAAAAATCCATTGCCTGCCCTTGCATTATATATATATATATATATATATATATATATATATATATATATATATATATATATATATATATATATATATTATTAGCTCCAATCCATTAAGTTTGGTCCACTTCTCCCTCTCCTATCATTTAGTACTAGTATTGCCATGTTACACTCTCTTAGGTGAACTATTTGGCATGTCTGCCATCTTATATGATTTTTCTAAACTCTTGTCCTTACTTTTATGCCTTGCTTCAACAAAACTCATTTTGTATTCTCCTCTTCTTTATTTAATTTTAATATTTAATTGATCACCACTCATCCATGATAGCATTCTCATTCAGTTGCAACTATCTTATGGACAATTTACTTGATGAATACTTATACTTTTCTTTAACCTATATCAGAATTTTGTAAGCACATAAAATTTTGTTCTCAGTTCTTTACATTATTATCATGCAACCTTAATGGAAGTTTACATATCCAAGAAGATGGAAAATGAAATAATCTCTATCATTTGTTTCATAGAATTTAATGAAAGTCTTTTGCTTATGCAGATTCAAAACTGCTTAATGCTATTGCCTCTGGTTCTCCTGATATTATCCAATTTTTGACTGTTATGGCAATATGCAACACAGTGGTTCCTGTACAAAGGTAATTGAGTCAATTTACATGTCAAAAGGAAATGGTTAAAAGTCCCGTGAGTTGGCACATATTAACTGTGATGATGCTTGTCTTGTTGCTGGACTCTGTTGGGCAGACTGTTATTTTCCAGTTCAAGGTTCCTTGAAAGTGTCTTCATGCATTAATTCTGTCTTCTTTATGGCTGTTTACAGCAAGGCTGGACCAATCTCATATAAGGCACAATCACAAGATGAAGAAGCCCTTGTGCATGCTGCTGCTCGCTTAAAAATGATTTTTCTCAATAGGAATGGACCTGTTCTTGGTATGAACAATTTCAGTATGTCTATTATAATTTATAACAAGCTTGGAAGGGAAATCACATGATAGGCTGATAGCTTTCCCTCTTTCCTATACTGCAAAATGAGTTCGAAGTTTAGAAATTTCCTTCTTTTTCTTGGTTGTGCAGAAATCAAGTTTAATGGTTCAATAATTCAGTATGAAGTATTGGACACTCTTGAATTCACTTCTGACAGGAAGAGAATGTCTGTGGTGGTCAAAAACTCTCAAACTGGAAAAATATTCCTCCTCTCCAAAGGAGCAGATGAGGCAATTCTTCCGTGTGCATATGCTGGTAATAATTCCTTGCTAAACTATTGTTTCACTGTTTACCATTGAAGGAAAAAGATAAAAGAAGGTGTTAATGCCATATAGGGTCCTCCTAGTATAATGATTTTACCACGTTTAGTCGTAAACTTTCAAATTGACCACCCGTGGTCCTTCGACTTTCAAATTGTTACCATTTGTGGTCCAAGTTAACCATCCATGGTCCTTCAACTTTCAAAATTTAACCTGTCGTGGTCCTCTTGGAAGGATCATGGGTGGTTAAAATTTGATAGTTGAAGGACCATGAGTGGTTAACTTGGACCACTGATGGGTGGTTAAAATTTGATAGTTGAAGGACCATGAGTGGTTAACTTGGACCACTGATGGTAACAATTTGAAAGTTGAAGGACCACAGGTGGTCAATTTGAAAGTTTAGGACTAAACGTGGCAAAACCACTATACTTGGAGGACCCAGATGGTATTAACTAATAAAAGAAGTAACAAAAATTTGTTATGAAAGTTTATATGAATTGCTACAATCATCTATTATTATTTAATCAAAAGCTTATATTAGAAACCACATTGTTGATGCTGGATGGTAGTACTAGTGCCTAACTAGTTATAGTTCTCTCACTTCTCTGTGGATCTACCAAATCTGGTTTTTTGACGTGTTCCTACTCTATACATGCTAAACAGCAAAGGTTTATGTATAGAAGAAAAAATTCCTTTGATATGTAGAATATGCAGTACATAGTCTGTATTTATAGAGAAAGGTATAACCTCTCTATCAAGTTCCTATGAATCAGGAATTCCTAATATTGAGGAATCAGCACAGTTCCTAAGAATCGGTGATCATCTAATAGAGTTAACTCATTAGTCAAGCCAATGACGCAGTTTTATACTAGATTAGTCAAGCCAGTGACATCTACAAAGTTAAGGATACCATGGTAGCATGGTCCATCATATTCTTAAAGTATGTTGGACCCCTTTTTCTACATATGACCTTTTTTTTTTTTTTTTTTTTTTTTCTTGTTGCTAGATAGTTTTCTCTAAGTAAAAGCCCCTAATCTTTCAATACTGTGCCATTATTTATTTGCATGCAGTTTTAGAGTTTGAACTATTGCAGAGCATTGCTGCCTTTTTTTTTTCAGTGTAAATTATTTTATTTTTATGGTAAAATTCGATGCCTTGGTACTGATTTGATGAATTTTTATGCATCATTGCTTAAAAGTTCAGTTTTAGTGCATGAATACAAGTTAAATGATTGGCATCAGTATCTTTGCTTGTATTTTCTGAAAATGATATATGTCAGGACAACAAACAAGAACGTTCACTGAGGCTGTAGAACAATATTCTCAGCTAGGTCTGCGAACTTTATGCTTGGCTTGGCGTGGGCTTGAGGAAGATGAGTATCATGAATGGTCCTTGATGTTTAAAGAGGCTAATAGTACATTGGTGGACAGAGAGGTTCGAAATTAATGTAGAAATAATTATTACCTTACAACACTTTCCATCCTCATCCCTTCAATAAGACGAATTATTATCCTTTTTATGCCTAATGTGTAGTTTTATTACTCCGTATTATATTTTGTCTGACACTTGTCTATAATGTTTTTATGTTTTTGAAGTGGAGAGTGGCTGAAGTCTGCCAGAGACTAGAGCATGACTTAGAGATTCTTGGAGTTGCTGCAATTGAAGATAGACTCCAAGTAAGACTTTTGATATCCTAATCTTTTCATTTTCACTTCTAAGCATTATTTGGTAATTCTGAATATAACTTTCTAATGCAATTCTTAGGACAAGGGTATTCCGTTTGATTTCTTGATGATATCCCATTACTTTACATCCAATTAAATTGTTTGCCTATCAGGATGCTGTCCCTGAAACTATTGAGACACTCAGGAAAGCGGGAATATACTTTTGGATGTTGACTGGTGACAAGCAGAACACTGCTATACAGATTGCTCGTTCCTGCAATTTAGTTTCTCCAGGTAGCTCTCTTTCCTATTTACATCTGTCGGACTCCTTTGACAATGTAGAGGGACTCTTTCTCTACTGTTTCTCGAAATGTTCTGCCTGTTCACTTCTAGTTTAAGAAATTAGGATAATAACTTATGGGAATGTTACGAAAGTAAAGAGAAGATTTCTGAATATGCTGTCTATTAGAAAAGAGAATACACAACCCTATAAATACATGCTAGAAGACTTCTAATAAAGAAACAAGGTTCCATATGACTACCTACTCTAATCTCTATAAATTTCCAAACTGCCTTTTATATATATATATATATATATATATATATATATATATATATATATATATATATATATATATACACTCCCCCACAAGTTGGCACCAAGGGTAAAGATTAACACGAACACCATCACAGCAACATAAGCACTCTAGGATGGATGACTTCAAAAGAGATTGCGCTATGCCAGACGGCCCTTCCTTGGGAATAAAGACGAAGGCACCAAGAACGGAGCTGAACACAATCCTTGGGAATAAAGACGAAGACACCAGGGACGAAGCTGGACACGATCTTGGTAATGAACACACCTAGGACGGAATTGAACATGAACCTCGGGAATGAAGATGAACACACCAAGGATAGAGTTGAACATGAACAACCTCCCGATAACACAACATAAACACTTTAGGACATGCCAACAAAGCCTTCATTGGAGCGGTAGAGGCGAAAAGGGAGCAAAGAATGCAGTAGAGTCCATAGTAATAAAGATAAACCCGAAGTAACGAGATGAAGATAACTAGGAAAACAAAGTAAAATAAGTAAAATAGAACACCGTTTGATTGTAGATAGTCACACTCCCCCTTACTTGAGACATGGGAAATAATCAAAGACCTTTATAATAGTGCTGAAACTGAAGGCCCATGGGATAAGGCATACCGGAGATAAAGAAAACACAGTTATACCAAAACACAAACACCATGGGGAGAAGTTCAGCAACAAATCCAAAAAGGAAACTTCAAATTTCACCCAAAAAGTCCAAAAATGGCAAGAGAATCTGCCTCAAGGGATGTTTGACCGACGTTGACCGTTGACCGGCAAAGTTGACCGGCGTTGATCGTTGTCCGACGACGTTGACCGGCAGAGATGAGGAAACTGAGAACACTACCAGATGCGTCTCTTCAAGACGAAGCCAATGGTGGCAGCGGTGTCTTGATCGGAGATCTGGCCGGAAAACAGCAGAGATTTCCGGAGACGGCGGTGGCGCGTGAGATGGCGTACGGAGACCGGATTTCACCCTAAAGCTTGCGACGAGGTTCCTAGTCGGCTTGTGGTGTTGGTTTGAGAGAAAAACTACTAGGCAAGCGACGGAACGAAGAAGATAGTCCGCAGTGGCGGCGGCGCGCGGCGGAAGCGGGAAGAGATGGTTTATTTAGGGTTTAGACTCTGATACCATGTTGAAATTGAGGGATTGAAAGGCCTCGCGGGTGGAGAATAACCACCCCCCGCCAGTTAGGGGGAAGCAAAATATGTGAGAACCAAAGAGAAGATAATAGAAAGAGTATATTATTATGAAAGATTACAATAGATTGTATCTCTATGTGTGTCCTCTATGCCTCTATAGGACTCTATATATATACTAAACAAGATACTAAATTACCCTAATAGGAATAGGAAACTAAGCCACCCTACTAGGAGTTTCCTAATATTCAACAAACACAAACAAAAAATTGATTTTATAAAACTTTCTAGTTTCTACCAAAAGGAAAAGGAACAAAATTATAGGATAGAGGGAGTATTATTTATTTGGCTAATTGGCTCTTTGTTTTTGGCATTTTTGTTTACAATCATCAATAGATCGTTAATCACATTACTAAATGAGAGTAGACAACAGATGTTAGTACTGGAGACTCCTATGCCTAATTTCTTCATTTGCCAGTTAATATATGCCTGACATGTTTTGTCCTCTGTGTGTGTGATCATTTATTTTTTCTTTTTTCCCCTGGTTTGCATATTTGCAGAACCTAGAGGCCAACTTCTACCGATTAATGGAAAAACTGCGGATGAAGTGTGTAATAGCCTAGAGAGAGTACTGCTGACAGTGAGAATAACAAACTCCGAGCCCAGAGTATGTTTCTCTTATAGTCTTATGTAGTACACCGTAGCTTATTTTCTTGGGTTATTGCAATGAGGTTTTAAGTCATATTTTTGAGAATTGTATATTCAAAAGTCTAACAACAATTTCGGATGAATACTGCTCATATATTAACGTTATCTATATGCTTGACTTGACTATAGAGTTGAAGAATCCACACATAATTGACTTTGTGAAAAACTCCAGTAGTGATTTCTAATGATAATTTTCAGATTCTGTACTTTAAAAGAATGGTTGCTCAATTGAAAAGGCTAATTAAGCCTTAAACACTTCCTTAATGTAAGAATCCTGTAACATTATAAATTTATTAAGCTTTTTTTTCTTATGTATTTGATGTGAATCCCTTAAGAAATACCTACTTCCTTCTTTCCAACATTGACCATATCAATTTCAAACCAATCACCTTTCAATTGTTGCATCTTCCATCTTTGCTGTTACCAGTCTGTATTTGTTAGAACTTAGAAGTCCTTAAAACAAATTTTTAAAAATAAAGGTACAGAATTATATAGGCATAGCAAATGGAGCTAGTTATGTGCTAAATCTCTTGTGGACTGTCTACTGATCTGGATGCCATGAAAAGTTAGGTAAACCTTAAAGGACTTTCTGTGTTTATTTTGACCAAGAGAAAAATCTGACTTTCTGTGCATTCTTGGTGGGACATATTCAAGTTGATTGCAAAAGTAAGATTTAGCTGCTACTAAGAATTTGATGGCATGCCCTACAAATGAACTCTTTGCAAATTATCACTCTTGATCATGAATTTTGACAATGTCTTATGGGATTCGAGATTCTTCCAACCGTAAGCCTTGTCCGCAAAGTTGCTAAAATTAGTTTCCTTGTCTAATTAAAGAGTTTTTTTAAAATATACTTTCAATTTTTATTTTTTAAAGTACTTTTGTTGCAGTTATTATAGAAGGCTGTTCTATACCCCTGACAATGGATGACTAACATTTTACTATGGTAGGATGTAGCATTTGTCATTGATGGTTGGGCTCTTGAAATTGCCCTTAAGCATCACCGAAAAGCTTTCACAGAACTTGCCATACTCTCAAAGACAGCTATATGTTGCCGTGTTACTCCATCTCAAAAAGCTCAGGTATTCTTGTTGGCTTGAATAATTTTATAATTTATTTATTGCATTATATTACTATTGTGTGGAGAAGCGAAAAAAAATTCCAATTAATCATTTTGATAAGTAAAGGAGATGCAAACGCTATATATAATGTGTGTGTGTGTCTGTGTTTGTGTATTAGGATGGAACTATGAAGATCCATGGTTTGTATTTGGAGCCCCTATACCACAACTCAAGCATTTAACATTGATGATTTTGTACTGTTGTTTTAATGATGAAATGATTCATTGCAGAGAATTATTATACTTTATTACAGACTAAATTTAGCCTTTAAAGCTACAAAAAGGACATATGCTTCATAATGCCAGTTACCTAGTTCTGAAAGTCACATGCTCTGAAGCTGTAGTTGAATCAGAAATGCTTGATTTTTCCATAACCCAAAGCAATTGGAAGGCTATACCGTATACCTTGTACAATAAGCAATTCTGTGCCATTGTACACTCATTTTTGTTGGAAGTGGTCATATTTCCTTTTTTGGCTTCATAGGGTAATACTTTTCTCGAATAAAACATCATTAAAAATCAATTTTAAATTTAAACATGTTAGGAGCTTGGAGCCTTGGACCTTTTTTATTTATTTATTTTATTAATGTTGTTTTTGTTGCGTGCAAATTATTTTTTAAAGTCACCTTGCTCTTTACTCAGGGGCGTATTGTCTCTAAACAAAATGTACATAAAACTTTCTAATTTTAAAACCTTGTAAACCAAAATTCACCAGCTCACCAGTGAACCCAGAGGAGGGCTTACTCCTTATCTGTTTTTCTGGCTAGATATTAGTTCTGCTTTTCTGATAAAACTATATATTCACCAGCTGTGTTATCTGCTTTGCTTTACTTATATTTATTTAGTTTATTTAATATAAACATCTGATTTTCTGATAAATGGGTCTGAATTATATTTTATTCTTTTTCCAGCTTGTGGAACTACTAAAATCTTGTGAGTATAGAACACTGGCAATAGGGGATGGTGGAAATGATGTGAGGATGATCCAACAAGCTGATATTGGTGTTGGCATAAGTGGGAGAGAAGGACTACAGGCTGCTAGGGCAGCTGACTATAGTATTGCAAGTGAGACCTCTGTTTTATTCATTCAAGTTCTGGTTCCCTCACCCAGAAGTTTGTTATAAATTGTTCAAGTCTGTTTCAATGGAAAAGGAATTTACAATGTGATATTAATATATTATTCTATGTTCTTGTTGAAATTGAGGGATTGAAAGGTTTGGCATGCCAGTTAGCCGGAAGCAAAGTATGTGAGAAACCAAAGAAAGAGAGAACTTACAATAATAGATGGCAATAAATTGTTTGTGTGTGTGAACAAATAGTGATCCTATATTTATACAAACATTGGGCTATAGGAAACCAAGTCTACTCCTACTAGGAATAGGACTAGGGTTTCTACTGTTCAATAGTTCTCTTTATGCTACTAGAAGGTTATTTTTAAATTAATTATGTCTGACAATTAGAGTGATTTGTAATATAAAAACCTTTATTCTGGGATTTGCCAATATATATAATGATATATTTTCATTGATGACTTGTTGGATATATATTGTTATAAAAAGAATTGTCTGGGAAATGGTCTTTCTAGTTCTCTTACTCACAGGGATGGTAACTTCATGAACCAATGAGGTTTTGGACTTTTAATAAGATGTAGAGTTGACATGTTTCTAGATTTAGCAGTTCGTAAACTGTACCCACATATCTGAAGTGACTTGAAAATGGTATGCAGTTAAGTGACCGGTAAATATCTTCTGAAATAAGTTGTTATGATATAACTTGTTTGACTTCTGGTGGTAACTGGCAAATATGTTCTTGAACAAGTTGATGCAGTATAAAGTGTTTGATTATTGAATAACTATATATATGCATACTATACAGCTTGCTTTGGCATATATTGGGCAATTGAATAAATATATATGTTTAAACTAGAGAAGGTTATTGTAATGCGTGATTTTTTGCTTTTGAATGCATTAATATATTTATCATATTGCAGAGTTCCTGTTTATCTAAAATTCTAACAGCTGACTCTGTTTTGATATTATTCTTGACATGCAGAATTTCGGTTTCTGAAACGACTAATACTCATCCATGGACGGTACTCTTATAACCGGACTGCATTTCTTTCCCAGTATTCCTTCTACAAATCCCTTCTGATTTGTTTCATTCAAATTTTGTAAGTTCATTTCTTCTGTTTTCTTTCATGTTGAATTGGGGCTCATGACATTAAATTTGCTAACCTTACAATCTTCCAGTTTCTCATTCATTTCAGGTGTCTCTGGAACTAGCCTTTTCAATTCTGTCAGTTTGATGGCTTATAATGTGTTCTACACAAGTGTTCCGGTTCTAGTCAGTGTTCTTGACAAAGATCTCAGTGAAAGAACTGTAATGCAGCATCCTCAAATACTGTTCTACTGCCAAGCTGGAAGGTATGAAATTTTAAACTTTGAGTGATTTTCTTCTATATTAATTTTGTTATTGTCCATCTGTGGATTGGTCCTTAGCAGGATTTACAATTAAAATATGATCTTAAATCAGGCTTCTCAACCCTAGCACATTTGCTGGATGGTTTGGTCGATCTCTCTTTCATGTAAGTTCTATTTACTTTCTAACTTCTCAGGTTTCTCTGTAATTCAGAATGTAAAGTTAAATGGGCTTTTCATATTTCTGTCTAAACAACGAAAGTATTTTCCATTCACAGTGCTGTAATGTTCATGTCTTCTTGGAGCAGTGTCATGTAATGAATTTAAGTTCTGCCATTTCTTTTCTTATCATACTCTCTTCCTCTTCCTCTTCCTCTTTCTTCTTTTCTCCTCTCTTCTAGCTTACAGTAGATTTTCCAGTTTCACCACCAGAAGTCCAGAACCACCAATTATGTCATAAGGAATTAGAAAAAAATGGTGAATATGCATTGTTTTTCAGCTATCTTGTAAGGTTGCCCCAGTTGAAAACTTATGAATCAAGCCCTTTTCATCCATGTTAATGCCAACCCTCTGAAGGACAGGGAACCTTTCTAATGAGGTCCTAATTTAGTTGGTTAATCAATGTTGAAGGTCAAGTAATATCCAACTCAACATAGTATAAACTTGTTTTTAGTCTTGCATATTGTGTGGGAGGTTGGGAGCTGCATGCATGGCTTGTTGGTGTATCTTTGCTTCAATAATTATTAAATTCACATTTCTTTCAAGTAATATCCTGCCAAAGAGGATTAGCTCAGTTGGTACAATTCAAACTTATCATCTAAAAGAATTTAGTGACTATTGCTGCTAGGATTCTCTTGCTGGTAGGTGATGGCATCACCCTGGTTTTGCAATGGGATAACCTCCCCACTTCGTAAACCTTAATGTACCAAATTAAAAAAAACAGATCCAGCCAACATTTATTTTTAGTGTAACAAGATATAATATTTTGATAAATAAAAATTATAATCTTCATATATGTTAAATGGGGTTATGCAATGTAGTTATATCAAACAGTCAAGGTATATTATACTGAATTACAAAAAGTATGGTGGAGAATTGTTACCGTACTTATTTGGAGATGTTTTGCAGGCAATTGTTGTCTTTGTCATTACCATACACTCTTATGCCTTTGAGAAGAGTGAGATGGAGGAGATGTCGATGGTGGCACTTTCCGGATGTATTTGGTTGCAGGCATTTGTTGTTGCAATCGAGACCAAGTAAGTTGCTACATATTCCACTCATAATTTCTTGGACAGTTGGCCCCTCCAAAGAAAACAATTATCCATGATCCTTTAACTGGAAACGGACATCTTCAATTCATCATCAATTTAACTCATTAAACACTTCTCATTGAGTTTGATTAGATAAGGAAAGGTATTTATTTTTGGTGTGAACTGACTGCTATGATATATGATTCTTATGATAAATTATTTCTCTTGTCCCTTCAGTGTAAAAAAAAAAAAAAAAAAAAAAAAAAAAAAAAAAAAAAAACTGACCCAAGCTATTTATTTCGGAACACATTTGTTTGCAGACAAAGTAGCTTAAGTTGGCTGAATTTCGGAAACTTACCTTCTTCTTGATGTATACAGTTCCTTCACAGTATTGCAACATATTGCCATATGGGGAAACCTCATTGCATTTTATATTATCAACTCGGTTCTAAGTGCCTTACCATCATCTGGGATGTACACAATCATGTTCCGGCTCTGGAGACAGCAATCTTACTGGATCACCATCTTTGTAAGTATCGTCTTCCATTTATTCTTTCAAATAAGGTCTCTCGACTCTGGACATCACATTTCAACAGCATATTACTTAACCAAGTTGAAAGTTTTTGTTCTTGCACTGCTAAATATAATAGTTTCTTATGAGCTATGAATGCTTTAATCTTTACTCTTGGATTGATTTTACTTTGGCAAACATGCATACTGGTTCTACTTTATGGTAAACATAACATGTACAGCTTGAAAATAATGTTACTCATTTAACTTTGGATTTGATCCAAAGTTGAGAGAATGATCATGCCGGATATAGCAAATTAATATTTTATCCTCCAAAAAACCAATCCATATTTCAATGTCAATAGAGGGATTATGTACCTACAAAAACCAGATTTTATTACTGAACTCTTCTCTGTGAGAATAGAAATCCAAAGATAATTCTGCACTATATTAATGATGTTCGGTCCATTGGCAAAGAGTTTTGTGTTTCTCAGCTAATTTGTTGTGCCCCACAATTTCAGCTTATAGTTGCAGCTGGAATGGGTCCAATACTAGCCCTGAAGTACTTCAGATACACATACAGATCAAGTAAAATCAATATACTGCAGCAGGCTGAGCGTTTGGGAGGGCCAATCATGTCCTTGGGACCCGTAGAGCCTCAGTCTAGATCCATGGAGAAAGATATGGTTCCTTTATCAATTTCTCAGTCCAAAATCAGAAGCCCCGTGCACGAGCCCCTTCTTGCAGACTCTCCAAACGCAACAAGACGTTCTTTTGGACAGGCCACACCATTCGACTTCTTTCAGTCACAATCCCGGTTATCTTCAAACTATACAAGAAACTCTAAGGACAAATGATAATTGATACCCCATTCTGAAGAAGGGTTTCTTTATTTATCAAACATTTACACATCAATACCATACCATACCGTAGGGGGTCAAGATGTTGAGTCGCTTTTTGGACAATCGGCACATACAAGTGTCCCTATACACTTGTAGGCTAATCTAATTATACTGTTTAGATTTTTTTTTTTTTTTTTTTTTTTTTTTTTTTTTTTTTTTTTTAAAGAAACAATTGTGAATCTTTTTGTATATTTTATATAAATTGTATAGCCTTGTCTATGATGTTTTGTGGTGTTAACAGCTGTATCATTCATCTTTTTGTATATTAAAGGTGTCTCCTACAGTTAAGGCCTGTTGAGGACACCTCATTACGTGACAAAAAAAAAAAAATGCTAGAGGGCATATATAAACAAATGCTTGTTTATACCTCCTGGTAAAAACAATTAAAAATTTTATTAGTTGGATTTAGAAATGGAAGATGTAAAGAATGTGAACTAATAGAGGTAGTCAGTGTAGTTGTAGAACTGGCAGTGTTACGCAATAACTTGGTGGCCACTATCATGGAAGATGTAACCCCGACCTACTCTAAGGTATCTTAGTCATATTATGATTATTAACTTTTATAATTATTAATTAATATGTTTAATTGTAATTTTATATTAATATTAATATAACTATATATATAATTAATGTAAAATTTATTTATTACATAAATTAAGTAAAGTTATAAACTATATAGATTATAAACTTCATAACTTAATAATATTATAATTACGAAGTAAATATAAAAATATTACATATAAATTATATTAATGTTAAATAAATTATAATTATATTTCAAACTAGCACATTTACACTAATAAATATAAATTTATGCATCATTCAATTATTCTAGACTTCCATTTCTAAATTCCAATTAAAAATAATTAATATACTTGCACTATAATATAATATTTACAGTAAGTTTTTAACCTTTTATTATTTATTATTATAAAAATAATTTATTTTTGTAATATATTTATTAAAATTTTATTTAAAAATGTAATAAAAAAAATACTAAAGATGAACTTTATGTTACATTTTATACCACTTCTATAATAAAGAATAACTTTCAATAGTTTGGGTTATCGGACTAGTTCATTAAATTTTGAACTAGCCCTATCAGGTCATCGAGCTTATCGATTTTGGATTCATCAGGCTAATATTTTTTATCGAGCTAGTCCGTTCGAGCTATCGACCCATCGATTTCGATTTTATCAGGCCAGCCTATCATGTTTAGACTAAGATTGACATCCCTATGTATCATATTGTTATCCTTAATCCCTTATTAGTCAGGTAGGTGCGTATAGTATCTTAAAGCAAATATTTGACAATGGGTGGCTATGTGAGGAGTATTTTGTTGAACCATGATAGATACCCTTACAATTACCATTTCATATTTATCACTCTCGGACACTTTTTTTTATTTTTTTTTTATTTTTTGAGTTAATATCACACATGGTCATTTTAGTTTTGGACTTTCAATTCGACTAAACCACACTTTCAAATTTTTATTTTTATTTTTTACAAAAAATGGTCCTCCATTATTAATCTTGTCAAATAGGCATTAAAAGTAAAGAAATTTTTGTCAAATCCAAGCATATTGCACCAAAATTGCCCATAAATTTTATCTATTAATACATTTTCAACACAATGACGCCAAGAAGATTCTCGATACTCATCTATAAATAGTTGGTGGTGGAAAATTGATGTATTAGTTCTGATTTTTGTTAGACTGTTTAAATATAGTATGTTTTTATGATTTTTGTTAAACTATTTGAATGTAATATGAGTTAATACCCAAAATTAGGGTTGTGCAGGACCCGAAAAAATCGACCAACCCGACCGAACCGAAGTCCGATCTACCCACACCGTTGAGAATCGAACCCGACGAAGGAAAACCGAACCGCCCCGTAAAACGACGTCGTGTAGAGAGGTTTTGGAGTGGGGGATGAATTAAGTCACCCGACCCGTCCGAATATCCGATTAAGCGTAGGGTTTCCAAGGGCTGTGTTAAATACGGCGTCGTTTAGACCAAGTATGTATATATATATATATATATATATATATATATATATATATATATATATATATATATATATATATATATATATGTTGATTAGCCTAATCCATCAGATCTATCCTCATTCTCTTATCGTGCAGTCAAAGCTAGGGTTTCATCTGAGATTTCTTTCTCTCATAGACTCATTCTCTCATACTCTCATACTCTCATAGTCTCATTTGAGATTTCTCTCCCACTCTCTGATACTCCGTTACTCCTAGTCTCTTAATCTCTCAGACTCTCAAAGTCTCAGTTCCACAACCACCCGTTGTATAGTCCGGTGGTCTGGTCTCTCAGGTGTTGGTGGAAGCCCTTGTTGGCGTTGTTGCTGGTGCTGTGACCTCTACTGGTGATATTGGTAAAACGAATCCCTTGTTCTCCGGGGTATCTGTGAGAAACGAAGTAAATCTTCTAACCCTAGTTTTTTAAATTTGATGCATGATGAGACAGATGAGTTGTTATGCGATTTTGTGATATGTTATGCCACTTATGTGAATATTTGGTGGAAGCATTGACTTATTGAGTGTTTTTTGCAAATCCTACTTTGATATTGTCAGTTTGTGAATTGTTTTCGCATTTTGTGAGAATTTATGATATGTTATGTCATATATCTGGTGGAAGCACTAACTTATTGAGTGTTTTTTTTGCAAACCCTACTTTGATATTGTTAGTTTGTGAAATGTTTTCGCATTTTGTGAGAATTTATGATATGTTATGTCATATATCTGGTGGAAGCACTGACTTAGTGAGTGTATTTTGCAAACCCTACTTTGATACTGTCAGTTTGTGAAATGTTTGAGTCTGAGTCTCTGAAATCTGAAAGATTGTGATAGTTCTGTTAAGAAGGTTAGGGAGGTGGTTAGATATGTTAGAAACTCTCTTGCTAGACTTAAGAAGTTCAGGGATTTGGCTGATTGGTTGAGTATTGAACAAATGTCTTCTTTGTGTTTAGATGTTCCAACCAGATGGAACTCTACCTATTTGATGTTGCAGTCTGCATTAACTTACCAGAAAGTGTTTGAATCTTTGGAGTCTGATTTGGGTAATTCAATTCCTGATTTTATGGACTGAGAATCTGTTGGCAGTTTGGTTCAGTTACTGAAGTGTTTTTATGACATGACCATTAGAATTTCTGGTTTTTTATATGTCATCTCAAACACATTCTTTACTGAGATTTCTGATCTGTACTGCTTATTGAAAGGCATGGTGGAAGTTGGTGGGGCAGTTGGTGATATGGGGAAAAATATGAAGGCAAAATTTGAGAAGTATTGGGGTGATGTTGAAAAAATGAATCTAATGATATTTTTTGCAAACATTCTAGACCCTAGAGACAAGTTAGAGTATATGCCTACTCAGTTTAATCATATGTATGGTGAGGAAAAGGGTAAACCATTCTATGACAAAGTAGTTGCTGCTCTTGCTGAGTTATTTGATGATTATTCTACATCTGCATCTTCTACTGTGAGTTCTGTCCTTTTTGTGCCTGTTTCTGTTCAAGCTACATCTGCCTCTTCTGTTTCTGTTGGGAAGCCACAACATTTTCTAAAGTCCCAAATTAAAAAGCAAAGATTGGAGTCTGGGGGTAAGAAACAAACTGAGTTGGATATGTACTTAAGTGAGGCAATAGTTGAAGATGAAGAATCTTTTGATATACTTGGATGGTGGAAGATCAACTCTGCTAGGTTTCAAGTTCTGTCTAAGCTTGCTAGGGATGTCCTAGCCATTCCAATCTCCACTGTTGCCTCAGAATCTGCCTTCAGTACTTCTGGGAGAGTATTGGATCCTTTTAGGAGTTCCTTAACTCCAAAAATTGTGGAAGCATTGGTGTGTACACAAGATTGGCTTAGAATGCAAAATACTCCTTTATGTATTGAGGAGAATCTGGAAGAGTTGGAGAGGTTTGAAAAAGGTATAACTTTTAACTTTATACTCCTTTATACTTATATTTTAAATTACTTAAATTTTTAATACTTTTACCAAGACTATGTGGTTTAATGGTACCTGGATTGGACTTCCATTTGGAAGGTTACAAGTTCGAGCGGCAGTGGATGCGTTATTGGTTCTTTGTGTTTCAGTATGTTGAGAATGTGTTTCAAAATGTTGAGAAAGTATAAAAAGTATATAAATAAATACTACAATGTATAGGGGTTTTACACTTGCTACAATTTCTATAATGTTATTATTTACATTACTTGATTACTTGATTTTATTGCAATCTTGATTTTACACTTGCTACAATTCCTGTAATGTTATTATTTACATTACTTGATTTTATTGTAATCTTTTACAGTATTTGACTGTTTGACTCAATTGCAATCTAATCTCACTTGGTATTTTTTGAGCCCACTGTGTTTGACTCAATTACACTGGACATCTGTAACTCTGTAAGTATGAAGGCCTGGTAACTTTTACTAAGTTGCTGTCTCAAGTACCTTGGGCATTTGGTTGGTAATGTATGAACTATTTTATTATGTTTGTTTCCTTTTTTTTTTTTTGAACGATCATAAAACTTCATTAATATATAATATCATTCGTACAAACCAATCCCGACAAACATCGAGGGATAAAATAAAAAAAAAAAAACTCACAAAGTTCATTAGTCGTACGATAAAGAGCTTGCTTGACCATCACATGAGCTGGCATATTAGCGTCACGCTGGACAAAGACAAACGATACCCGCTCCATCTGTTGCAAGAAGTCACGAATTTCATCTATCAAGTACGGAGTAAGATTACCCCCTTTCTTTACTGCCATTGCTACCACTTTTCCACATAGCTCTCGCGGCAAGGCTGTCCACATATCATCAAGCCATTCTTAGACTGAGCTCATTAAAACCATCCCCCAATCCTTATTCAAGATCCTCCAACATTGGTGGGCAAACTCACAATTTGCGAAAATATGAACTGCAGTTTCAGGTTCTATGCCATAAAGAGGACATATGGGATCACAGCGAACCTGTTTAACAATCAACGCATCTTTAGTAAGGAGCTTCAGATTACACAAAGCCCAACAAAAAAACATTTTATTTTTGGTGGCAACTTCAACTTCCAAACTTCAGTCCATTTAGCATTTTCCCTATCCGCACAT